CTTGTTTTTCTTGACTAATGAAAAAAAATAATCTTTTCTACTTTCTCCATTAGAATTAACTGCTGCATTATAATGAATTTCAATATAAATTTTATATACAAATTCCCTTCTTTTTGATGATAACGATGATAATGGTTTATAATGTGACATTATATAGAAATATAAAATATAAATTTGACTTGGTGTGAAAATTTTTTTTGAGAATAACAGTTACATTATTTCCTTTTTAACATATACTATTACAATTTCTTTCTCCGTAGATTTTAATCTTACAAATTTGAAATGTTTGGTTGCTCAACTGAATTGTTGGGGAAGGGTGAAATCAAAAATCAAGGGGTAAAACTTTGTAATGAGTCGTTTTTCTTTTTGCTGCACATATTTTCGTTTTCCAAAAGTGATAAATGGTTGTTTTTATTTTTACATTACCGTATTATGCGAATTCCTATTTCTATCTATTTGGCAACCGAAAAATTTATCTATTTTTGTTCAAAACATTAGGGTTGAGTGAAGCAGATACTTGACCGAAAGAAAAATCATGTTTCGCTTTAGATGTTTTTTGCTGTCTATTGTTCGTTACCTATCATTTGATGATCTGGATCGGAAAATTTTTATTTTTTTTAATTCCTTTCGTAGAAAATAAATAAATTGCATTGATTTAATCTTTGCAAAGGAGGGGGTTTTTTAATTAAGAAAAAAAGCTTAATTGATTTTTTTTTTAACGTAAACTTTTGATGTTTGCATGAATCCTATTTTTCTATAGCGATAGACTTGGAAAAAATAAAAATAAAAATTGATCCAATTGACCTTTAATCGGAGAAAACAAATAAAATCCATTGATTAATCTTTTCAAAGGATTTTTTTTTAAGAAAAAAAAGTTATTGATTTTTTTTTTGACAGTCGAAGTTTGTAAATAAATTTTGATGTTTGTATGAAGTTTATTCTTCCAACCCCCCAATTGATTCAATTGTCCTTTAATCTGAGATAAATAAACATACACGAGGCAAAGATCAGGATAAAAAAGATCTTTTTTTTAATTAGGAAAAAAAGCTTAGTTGATTTTTTTAACAATCGAAATTCGTAAACAACTTTTGATTCACACGAGGTTCTTCTTTGCAAAGGATTTTTTATTAATTTAGTGAACAATTTCCCTTTGTACGTGTAATTTTTTTATCAATATTAATATTCGTAATAGTAATACAAATTTCATTCGTTTTATTCATTTATTCGAATAAACATTCAATGCATTTCGAGTACTCAAATTCATAACGAATACAATAAATAATTCGACTAGACCCCATTCGATAGAAACCATATTAATATGACATTAAAAGCAATTTAGGAATCCGGTTTGATTCGAATCGTGTCGAATCGAGTCATGAATCCTGTTTTTGAATTCGAATTGAATTGAGTCATTTTAAAATTCGACTAAAAGCAAGTTGGAAGGCTTTGAGCAAGTGAAAGGCTTCAACAGCTTTTACATGGGTTGCTATAAGATAGGCCTTATCTTTCCCTAAGACCGGTATTAATAATGTGCTTGAGCTGTCTTTAGTGTCTGAGTTTGAAGCAACATAGGTTGATCAATATTGGCACTTAGAACGACCTTTTACATAGCACACCCAGGCTTTGATACATATCTTTGTAAGTTTTAATTTTGTTTTCTATTTTTATCACTTTTAGATCTTCAAAGAACGCTAAAATTCTTTTATTGTTGGATCATGATAAACCGATCGCTAGAGTTTGTTAATGATGAAGTTGTTCTTTAAAGAATGCAACTTTCTCTTTTCAATTTATATCCTTATCAATTAATTCTGTCAGAGAAAACTTAAAGCAATCATCATAATATTATAAAATCACACGACTCAATCACATACATATATATTCGTTCGGAACATTAAAATTTGCACTGAATGCGAAGAGTCTTAGCATACTATCATGTATTCATGATTAATGATGCGATCTTTAATAAAATTAGACTATTTCATGGCCAT